TCTTTCCCTGATCCTTATTTTGATTTAAATGTTTTTTTTTTTAATTATTATTAAGATATTTGTATTCTTACTTTCATATGACACATGTAATGAAAGTATAGAAAATAAATTATTTGAAGAGTTTGAACTGCAATTTGGCCTTTATTCATTACATTGATTAGAATTATATGTTAATATTTGTTGCCTTTTCTTTTTGTAATAAAATGGTATAAAGTATCAAATAGTTTAATAACACAATTTAAAAAATGTGCGTTTTTATTAACCTATACTTTGTATGCAAGTTATATAAATTTAGAACTATCGGGATAACTTATTTTATAGATCATTCTTTGTCAGAAATTGTATAAGTTATGAATAAATAAAATATATAAATTTTGTTTTATTATCCACGTTATTTTGGCACATATGTTTTAATATTAACAATTAATGATAACATTATTAATATTTGGGATTATGTGTTGATATTAATCAAATAGCAGTAAGTATTTTCTAAATTATATATTTCTAAACTTCAATTATTTTTATAAAAATTACACAAAGTGCGATCAGTGATCTTGGTAATTAAGTGTAATAAGTAAGAACATAAAAGAGACAGGAACTTATATTTATATCTGTAAAATTCGCACGAATTATTGAAATATAAATAAAAATAATTAGTAGACTGTAGATTTTTCCGCATTTATAGAAAATGTTATAGATAATGTATAGAACATTTAAAAAACTGCACATAATGTACAAAAATATCCAAAGTATAGTATTTATTACAATATTCAGTGAATGAAATAAATTTCTACTTAGATTCCATTTGTTTAATTAGATTTGTAAGAATACTAATTAGTATAAAAATCTGTAATCTAATAATGAGAATATAATGCTGTAATAACTGATAGTAATATGTATAGTGATCATAAGAAATGCTTATTAGATACAGTGTGTCTTACGAACTCTCTTCACCTGAAATATTTCTTTTACGAGTAAAACGAAGAAATTATCTGAAGAAAAATTAAAAACACATCCGTATTTTTCAAACTCAATTTTTTTCAAAACGAGGTGTCGGATAAAAAAATCTATTCTAGGTTCAATCTCTAATCGGTTGACCAAGTTACGCTGTACAATAAAATTTAATATACTTTCAAACGATTTTTTCATTTATTACCAAATCCAAATCTAAACCGGCATTATTCAATTATTTCAAATAACGAATTATTCTAACTATTTTATTACGTTCATTGTAGAAACTTTTTTCATGTCACAAGATTATTTGCAATTAATCTCCTAATTATAAGAAATTATAAGCAAATATGTTGTTGGTACAGGCTTTTGACGAGACCTACACACAGTATGTTCTTCTATACTTCTTAATTAAATATATGTTTGGCTCTTGGGTATTTCTGGTCGTTGAATATTTTTTTTTTAATTACGATGGTGAGTTTAGTCTCAAAACTCTTTGTCTTTTGCCTTGTCAAAACTTTTGTCTCAAAAGTCCTGTACCTTGATTTGTATACTATTGTCAAGGAGATCGGTGACCTGGAGATTCAGATGAATTCCTATGTGGTCTACCTAGGTATTTTGTATTAATTTTCAAGATTTCTTTCCCCATTTAAAAATTACATAACTTGTTTTTTTATTCAATATCTTTAAATTTTTGAGAGAAGAGATTCATTATAAATAAATAAATATACATATGTACTAAATATTTTTTATTCCGATAACACATACAATAATAACCTATATGTGTGAGGACCTCGTGGCCCCCGCAGGTTCCTGGACCACAGGTTAAGAATTGCTGGTTTAGAGTAATGTTGGCAATCTTAAATAATAATATCGATTGTTTGACCGCTTCTTCAAGTTGTTTTAGGAAATACAATGTTGCTAATTGCTGATCCATAAAAAGTTTCAAATTTCTTCAATTTAGTTACGTAGCTAACTTCTTCAAGTTAATTATTTGTTTTCATAGAAATAGAACCGAAATTCTTCAACAATATAAATAGCCTTGCATCTATTGACTTTTACGACGTACTACAAAGAACAGACAACAGAGAAAGTATCCTTTCCTCCATTTCAGGTCAGCGCTACTAAAAATAAAGAACATCTGTTTTATTTCAAGAGTAGCTTGTTTTTATTGAAATCCATAAAGTATTCCGTAAAGCATGGTCATTTCGTAAACCTTATATATAATAAGCGTATTATAAACGCATCCTGATATCTGGTCTTCGAAATTTTATACGCTAGCAAAGGAGAGGGCATAGTTTACGACATTCTCAAGTGACTTCGCTATCTCTTCCTAGAACCAGAGATAAAGGAACCGAGGTAATCGCTGCGAGCGTTCGAAGCTTCGCATTTTCAGACGTCGCAATTATAAGACGTCGGGGCCCGTTGAATCACGCACTAAGCAGACGAGGACTTAATTTATAGCACCCTTAAGTGTTAACGCTTTCTCTATCCACAGGGTGACGAAGGCCAGGCAGCCATCCTAGGTGTTCGAACTTCACATTTTCTTACATTCTCAGATAGAAAATTTTTTTTTATTTGATAGACTATTTACAATCAATTCTCATTGAGAATTATAAGCAAATTATTTTGGCATGGTACTGTAATTTGGATTATAAGAGTTTATAGTATGTCTGATTCTAGTTGAATCTAATGCATAAATCTAAATGATAGAAAATGGTAATTGATAATTATTATCAGTTAAAAAGATTAACTGCGATACTAAAGAAAAGTGGGACGAAATTCTAGGTAGATACCAGCTTATACGTAAAAGTATCAAAGAAATATATATGGTGCACATAATATCTCGTCAAAGTTTAATTCTTTAAAATATTCTTTTCATAGTATTATGTCTCTGTATATGAGAATTAAGTTATTATTAAAAGATTACTTAAAATTGTTTCAAGATGAAGGAAACTTACTATGTTTTATTATGATAATGAGTAATAGCGATTAGATTTCATTTAAAAGTATGATTAGTTAGTTGAGTTAGAGCAGTTTCGATTTTTTTATATTGAGTAGATCTAATATATAAGAATTCCTATTAAGCTTAAATATTATAATTAGTTTCAAATGCATGGTATATTTATAGAACAATTAAATTTGCTTAAAACTACGTTTGAACGTTATTGAAAGTTCTTAAAATAGTTACTTAATATTATGCATTATTATTAATATTATATGATTATTATTAATAACTTATCGTTTGCAACGCACATATAAATATTAGTAACAATTAGAAACATATAATAGAAAATTATGACTTCTTAAATGTACCGCTACTTAAACCTGGCCGATGATTGGTTCATTATCTAGAAATGGAGGGGGTACAAGAAGAGTCTGATTGGATGAACGAAGCATTTCGTGTTCAACTTCAACAAATAATATGCTGGATAGTTCTCTGCGGAGATGTAATAGAGTTTGGAAATCGGTTTTCACGAATAGTGAAGAGAAGGCAATGTTCGAGATAGATTCAGTCGAGCTATTGTCAAATTATGATATATTTGTATAAGAAGTGATAAAGTTTAGTGGAGTTACAAGAGAAGTTTATAATATATTATATATGTGCGACATTTGAAGAGAAATAAGGTACCTTTGATTTTTATGCATGTATAACGGTGGCCTAATTTTTTTTTCTTGAAGTATTCTCCCAGTGTTCAGATAATTTTAAAATTTCAATAAATTAAAGGTTGTTATATATTACCAATTTATACTTTGATTAATATGAGAACGATAATACCTACCGAAAATATGTGAATTGCCCATAATTTGATATGCAGCTGTTGCCACTGCTTTTTTACATTCGATTTTGTGTACTCGTTACATGTCATCAGGAATTATGATTGGTTTATCTTTTCATATGACGTCAAAGTAACGACGTATTTAGTTTTGCAAAATAAGTGTACATAATATTTATGTCGTTTGTCAAATTTATTCCAGTTAGTAAGCGTATAGTTAGATAATATTACTATGGTACAATTACGTAGCTTAAACTATTACATTAGCTCTCGTACTGTGACTTCGATGTATATGTATAGGGAGTGTACTTGGTTTTAATTAAAAATAATATTAAAACTAAATGTTGTATATATCAATATATGTATAAAATTTTGCAGTAAAATTTTATGAAGTATGTGAATTAATTTTGTCATGAGAATTTTATGGTAGAATGTAAATATTTCGAAGCGAAAATGTTTTTTTTATAATGTATCAAATGTATTACATCGTATTTTAAATAATTAGTAAGTATCTATCCTTTGTTAACAACAATATGTATTTGACAATTTTGCGTGTTTCACCAATTTTTACACTACCGATCTGATCGCCATTTGCCGGCATTATCCGAGATCTCAATTATAAGTCAGAAATACTAATTATTGTATATTTCCAATCCTTTGTTTCATTCTCGCATCAGTGTACGATATAATTTTAAAATATATAACAGAAGTAAGTTGTTAAAAAGAAACTACATAATATTTATTGTATTTTATCTCGTTTAACATTTCCAAAGATGCAATTCTCATAACTTGATTGTAATATCTTTTGTCAAAGCATAACATTTTTCGTCAAGCATATGTAAAATATTGAAGAATAATAAAATAATCGAACATAAAAATTGTTTGAAAAATATTTTATACAATTACTATTTGTACTTATATTATAAAAAATATTTATATTATTACAATAAGATTTATATTTTACAAATATCTATAAATGTTTTTTGTATGATTTTGTTTTAAAGTGGTTAATAAATAAACAATATTTACATTATATTATAAATAAACATTAACCCATTAATGTTGTTCTAGTAAATTAATATAATTTTTTTTATAAGTACTAAGCATTTAATTAGTAATTATATTATTTAAACATTATTATTCAGAATGTACTTCGTTAAAAATTATGTATCAAGTCATTTATCTGATGTTTAAATGTTTTCAGAATTTTACTTTGTAAATATAATTTATATACACATTTATTAACATTTTTAAATATACAAAAAAGCAATAATGGAAAGAGAAGAAGTAATAAAAAATGTACGTGCATGTCTCATATCTTCAAAAGGTGGAGTCAAGATGGACGATCTAAATAGTAAGTTCTTTCTTTTAAGGAGCTTTTTTTTATCACTATTTAATCTTATTATAATTTACTTAAATTTTCATAATATTCATTTGGAATGTTTATATTTCTATAAATCATACATATATTAACTAAAGTAAATAAAAATTAACAATTTTACATTGTATGTTTATAATGCAGCTGTAAAAAATATTTATATTAACACTTTTTGCAGAAGATTATAGATTGCTCATTGATGAAAATATACCATTTCGAAAGTTAGGGTACCAATCTTTGGTTGCCTTTTTACGTACTGTCCCTAGTGTTAAAATTACTGAGAAAGGAAAAGATTGTTTTGTGGAGGCTGTACCTACTGGAGAATCTGCACATATTACAAAGTTAATTGCTCGACAAAAGACAGCAACTAAAAAATATAATAAAATGGTAAGTCTGTTATTCATCTGTACTGTTTTATATCATTTTATTGTATATTACATTATTTTTAATGTTGTATTGCCTTAGGTGAATACCAAAAGACCAACGCCATTTCGTAAGCCTATGATGACAAGAAATTTTGGCAATATAAGAAGTTTTAACAATAATTTATATTCACAAATGAGTGGAAAGTAAGTGTAGAATGCATCATCTATGTTTCATTTTTTTATGTCCTAAATATTACATATAAAAAATAACTAGAAAATAATCTTTCACAAATAATTAATTCTTTTTTATATTTTTGAAACGTTGTTAGTATATAAATTTTAAGAGATATTCAAAACTGTATATGGAATATATTTTGTGTGTGCGTGCGTGCGCGCGCGTGTGTGTGTACGCGCGCACACACACATTTGAACATTTGTTATTTTAGACAAAATATGTATTTTCCTGCAATGTCAACCAAAATTACTATTCATCAAAATAGTGAGAAACCCAGATATATACAATCTAATTGTGGTATACCACCAAGTTCTCCTAGTAAAGTAAGTAATATATACCTGATGAGATTACATATTTTGGTACTGAAGGAGAGAAATTTATTTTAATTTTTAGAGACTGAAAGATAGACAAGTGAATTCTGTTTTATCAACAAACCAAAGTATTAACAAGTCTAAAGATGAGACACAAATAAAGAACAATCTAAGGACAGTAACATCTGTGATAAGTCAACATTCAAAGAATGCTAATATCAATGTGGAAATGCTTCCTAAAAAAATTTCAAGTCCAAACGACAGACTTAAAGTAAATCCTATTCCTTCATTGATGGATATACGCACCAACATTTCAACACTGCCTCAATCACCTGAAGTGTTGTCACCTTTCTCACCTGGACAAGTTTTAGCAGATGGTAAAATGAAACTTCAACAATCAACAAAATTACCTGTAAGTGTTTATCAATTACTAAATTATACAATATATGATTAATAAGTTATATTTGTAGGCGGCATTAGGTAATACTAGAAAAATTGTGCCAAAATTACAACCTACTGATCCAAGAGAAGAATTGAAACGAAGAGCTAGTGTACTAAATCTTCCAGAACCTGTGTATCAAATCTGTCCTACAACAATTAAAAATACTAAAGAACCGGCTGTGTTTGCACAAGTTAAGGTTTGTGAAATTGTTTTGATATTTTTCTGAAAGAAATTATTCATATATTGAAGTATAAATTAACGACAATAAGAAATAAATAGTAATTTATAAGTAAAAATAAAAATAAATAGTATAAAACATTAAAAATATATTTCTAGATTGGTCCTCACGGATATTCAAGTTATCCGGAACAAGCACATACTGAGGACGAGGCACAAAAGCTTGCGGCGAAATTTGCCTTGCTTGATCTAACCGAAAAATATGGTTCATCTTCCTGTTTTAATGAAACTAAAGACAAAAGCATAATAAAAGAACGAGTTTTGTCCATAATAGATGCTCATCCAAATGGTATCTTTATGCATCAGATACCCATGTATTATAAACAACAGTACGAGGAAATTTTACCTGGAAACTGGGAAAAAGTTATTGAGACAAGCTCAGAAATTGTTTTAGAAAAGGGTGTAGATAATTCGGTAATTCTACGTCGGTTTACCTCGTCGGATTTACGTGAAAAGGTAAAATAATGTGTTTTGTAAACTATAGGCTGTTTTATGTACGTATATGAAAGAAATACAGTTATTATTTAATATATATATTTTTAGATACGAAATACAACATCATTAAAGACAGATAAAATACTACTGCATCCAATTGGTCCTGTTGCACCTGGACAATTGCAATTACCGGAAGAAGAATTTTGGATTGTGTCTGTTACATACGTTATAAGTACTGTTGAAATATGGGCTAGAATTGTAGGAGATGCATATAGTGTAAGTTAAAAAGAATTCTTTTTATATATAATCTTTTTTTATAATTATTATTTATATTTACTTACGTGATCTTTATGTAGGATGAATTTGACATTATGACCACCGAAATGAGTAAACATTACAGTAATATTCAACAATCTCTAAAAGCACCACTTATTGAAATTGGAAATTACTATGTTGTGTTTGAAGACGAATCATGGCACAGAGTTCGTTGTGTAGATTTTAATATCACAACTGGAATGGTTACAGTTTCATTTATCGATTATGGTGATGAAGATATTTACCATTATAGTAGATTACAAATATTGGATAAAAAGTTTTGTGTGCTTCCTGCTCAGGTATGATATTGATGAATCAATGATGAATCGCTTTGACGCAACAATATAATGCCATTTTTATTAAGATATAAACTTTATAATATTATCAAATATATTTGTAAACAATTGTGTTAAATTATATATAGGCATTAAGGCTGTGTCTTTATGGTTTGGAAGATTTCAATGACTGTGATAGCACTGTGATAGCAATTGAAAAATGTCTGCTTGACCGTGCTTTATATGTTGAAGTACGAAATCGCAAGAAAGATCAGAATGATCTCTCTGCGACAGTTGTGTTTTATGATACGCATGGACCAGATGACATTAATTTAAATTTAGAATTGTTTAAACAAATCTCACAAAACGTATTAGTTGCTCCTAAATTAGATGTTGTAAGTACTTGTTTATATTCCAGAAGATGTTCTTGAATTTTCGACAAAAAGTAATGTGTTTTTATTATTTATAGGAGGGACAAGTATCAGAAGTATTTATTTCTCATGTAGAACAAAATGGTGATGTTTATGTACAAGTGCAGTCTGAAAGTATGAAACTTTTGGTTAATTTATTAAATCGATTAATATGTACTGGACTAAACACAGAAGATCTAGAGAGTTGCATCGTAACCACAGTTGATTCTAGTAAAACATATTTTGTGTCAGTAAATAATAATTGGTACAGGGGGAAAATCGTAAGTGACAGCTTTTACAATCAATTAAGAGCATTTTTAATTGATTTTGGTAAGACTGTCACTGTAACAAAAAGCAATCTTCTTTCTTTAGAAACACTATCTCAAGTTTTAGCAAATTATCCTCCTCAGGTAAGATTTTAATTTGGATATTTGATAAAAATTTAAAAATCTAATATATTAGAACAAATTTTAACGATGCATTCATAATAATAGGCATTGAAGGTACATCTTCATAACATTGATAAATCAATGTTCAATGAAAAGATGGTTGCGAAACTTGTAGAACTTGCACCAAAAGGTGAACCACTTATTGTAAAAGTTGTATCATCTATAAAGGGGACACCAGTTGTGGAATTATTTAAACGAATTCAACCAAGTAATATGCTTGTTTCTGTCAATAACACCTTAGCTCTTGAAGAGGAAATTACGAAGTATAGTATATGAAAGTATTGATAAATGTTACTACAAATAAGAAAATAATAAGCAATTGCTATTTTTATTATATTTGCAGAACACATGGGGATGGTAACAATAATATAAAACCAAGGAAACGCATCGAACGTATGAATTCTAAATTCGCAGGAAGTGAAGATGATGACGTTGTAAAGTCTTTAAAACCACCAAAAATTTCAGGCATTGGCGAATATTTTGATGTTCATGTAACAATGGCTGCCCATCCCGGAAATTTTACTGTTCAACCATTTGACGATAAACGTTCATTAGAGGTAAATGTAATTTTTTATCTATTTTGTTAGGTATAAATTTATGTATTACAATTATATATATATAATTACACTGTATTATTTTATAATTATATAAAAAAGTATATATTTCATATAAATTAAATGTATATGTTTTTATAATTTTAGTTAATGATGATTCAATTACAAGAAGCTTGTCAAGTATACAAAGGTCCAACTCCAACTCCAGAATCAGTAAAAGAAGGCAAACTTTATGCAGCTCAACACATTGACAGTCACTGGTATAGGTATAAATAAAAAGTGATCTATAAATACATATTTCAAGTCTGAACTTTACATTATGGAGTTATTGATATTAATTAATAATTTCTATTTATTCTCAATTATTTTTAAGGGTATGCATTTCAAGTATCATTAAAGAAAATATGGTTAGCGTTTACTTCTGCGATTTCGGAGATGTATCAGTACTACCATTAAATAAATTACAACCTTTGAAAAGTGAATTCTTAGAACTACCGTATCAAGCTATTAAAGCAAGACTTGCTGGTATGTAATTGTTTTATCTTCCAGTTTTAATTTTTTTTCAAGATGCAGAGTTTTACTTCGTAAATTTTGTTACTAATTTAAACAGGTATACGACCGATTAACGTTGACTGGTCTGTTGAAGATAGTTTAAGGTTTCAAGAATTAGTCGTGGATAAAAATTTTGTATCAATAGTTTACGAATCTAAGTCTGATGGATTTTCCCCGGCCGATACTATATTGGGTTTAAAATTGATAGATGTTAATACAGCTGAAGATATTTACATCGATCAACTTTTAATTGAGGAAGGTCGAGCTACATTAAATGATTAAAGCGATATATACTTGGATACAGTTGATATAAAATAGGAGTATCATAGTGAACACTAATGGTTAAATTAGTTTTGACAATTTCGGCATGGAATACATGTATTTGTTTCCTACGTAAATGCTAAGTGATATCTTTGTACAGTTTTACTGTTTTACGCTCGAGAATTTAGTTGTTTGTATATAAAAATAATATTTCTATTTAATAGTATATGCAAAACCCATAGCATCGTTAACTGTTCTAAACAGAAGTAATGAAAATATAATAGAAACTATATGTATATGAATGTATCAGGTCTGTAAGTATGAAACCGGAATTTGCCTATAGATGGCCCTAGCTGATAATGTAGTTATCACTACTGCGTCATTGATGCCAAAAGTCTTTGTTGACATTTCACAAACATTTTCGACTCAGAACAATACAAGTTTCATACAACAGCATAGTTTGCAATAGCGTTGAACATGTTAAATTTTGTGCCTGGAAACTACGATTTGCGGACAGAATTGATTTTCTGTTACCATTTGAAGAAAACTGCTGCAGAATCGCATCGAATGCTTGTCGAAGCTTACGATGAGCATGCTCTTGGTAAATCACAGAGCTTTGACTGGTTTAAAAAATTCAGAAGTGGCAATCTTAACGTGAGGAACGAAGAACGTGGAAGACCACCGAAAAAGTTTCACGACAGCGAATTGCAAGCATTGTTGGATGAGGATGATGCTCAAACGCAACAACAACTCGCTGATCAATTAAACGTGACACGAGAAGTCGTCTCCATACGTTTGAAAGCCATGGGAAAGATCTAGAAGGTGGGAAAATGGGTTCCATATGAACTGAATGAAAGACAGCAGGAAAACCGAAAAACCACTTGCGAAATGTTGCTCGCTAAATACAAAAGAAAGTCATTTCTCCACCGAATTGTGACTGGCGATGAAAAGTGGATATATTTTGAGAATCCTAAGCGTAAAAGATCATGGGTAGCTCCAGGCGAACCACCGACATCGACTACAAGACCAAATCTATACACATACGTACGTTTGGTACGTAATACGTGTATGTGTACATTATACATATACATATATTATCTATGTCTATATCTATAATTATGTCTTTGAAAAGTTATAGCTTTTTATTTTTCAAGAAAATAATAATTTATTGAACTAACTTTTAAACATTATATATACACATTCTTATATAGTATTTTATATATTTTTGTTATAATATTCTATGTTTTTAAGATTCTTTATTTTTTCAAAATCCTTAAATTTAATTTTTGTTCTGTATTAACAAGTTTGGCTGTGTCATATAAAAGACAACAAAACTGTGACGAAAACTGACAAAAATTTTTTGACAAAAATTAAAAGCATTCCATTTTTTTTTACTTCCAATACATTGGATATTCTTCATTTTTTTTAAATTATTTGTGTTAGGGTATTAAACACCCTAGGGTAACATGCTATCCACGAGTGATTGCAAGCTATTGTTTGTGTTTTGTATGTGATAAATACTTTGTTGTTTACCTTTTTTTCTATTATAACATGCTTTCAATTTTGTTATTGACTTGTCAATTTAAATTGTTAACATAATCTAACTATATATAATTTAAGAATATTATAATATGTCCTATATGTTTTAATTGTTTTTGGTTAACAGAAGAAAGGTAAATTTATTTCTTGTAGTGTATACTACGAATTTATTTCGTCTTAGATAATTATTTCTTTACTTCAGTATTCAATTAGATTAGATATATATGCGATATATTAGTAAAACATGATATTATATATTTATGCATATATATATACAAATATATATTTGCGAATATTGCTTTATGAAGAATATTTTTGTTTTGTTAATGTAGTAAGATACAATATTATAACTTAATGTTACGTTGCGGTAAAATATTATTTTTGATAATAATAACTTGATGAAAGGTGCCAATAAATACTAATGTTTCCATAAATGTAAGGATTCTTATTTCAAAAACCTCCTGTGTTAATATCGATATAGTATGATATATTAATAATAAATATATTTCAAAATGTGTTTTATTTGATGAATATTTAATACGACTACATATATTTAATAATTCCAGAACGTATAAATGGATAAAATGTCTTATTTGTTCTTACATGTGTTGTTACGTTTAGCTTTTATTGATTGCTATGAATAACGCGTACTTGTATAATGAATCGCGTGTGTTAGAAAGCGCACGCGTTATGCCAATAATCATCGATCATTACGCTTATCACGCGTCCATGATTTACGAAAATCAACTTTTGTAATCCTTATGTGACGTAACATGAGTCGTATTTATTTCATATAAATATATAGATATTTTATATATTATTTATATCATATTTTTTATCAACCGTAAAATATTCAATTAATAAATTAATTTTTAAAAACTATTATTAGTTAATAACTAGTATTAGTAATTTTTAATAATTAGTATTAAATTAGTATCTAATTTATAATTTAATTTATTATGATTATAATTTAAATGACAGTAAGCTACAACTATTTTTATAATGCTAACCTTAGTTAATCCATGAGATTTATCAATTAAAAATTACTTTATAGTGCAATATATATTTATAGTTCAACATCAGATGATTTAATGGATGCATATCTAAATTTATTCTAATTGCACTGTTAGCTTCTATTAAATTCTCAACAAATTTACTTCTTAAAAGTTCTCTGATTTACGATATATTTTGTCTTGAAATTGGAACCCGTTCTAAAAATTGCACTAATTCTTTTTCTAACTTTGTCAGTTATTAATATATCGATAACATTTAATAATTGTACGAGATCAATTAATAGAAATTACTTGACGAATTATATACAATCTTTATATATATATATCTTATTCTTAATAAAATTGTTACAATTTTATAAATAATACATAATGTATCATGAATATACATACGAAATAAATTACATATCTTGGAGAAAATACAAAATATATGCATAATATATAAAATAAATGTAAAGGTTAACACTTTTTAAGTTGGTTCCGTTTTATTATCAATCTGACATGTAACATACATAACAAATAGCGTTAATTATAAGTCTATAGAACATAAGTTAGTCAAATGATTGAGTTATATATTTCGACACGAATATAATATAAATATTATGCTGGGAGATATGTCTTATCCCGATAATAATAAATAATAACAGTAAGTTACCAATTTTCTATAATAATATATATATTTGCATAAACGCTGTATATCGTTTCTATAACACCCCTTCTTTTTTCGTTGTATATTAGAGGGGATGAAGTAAGGTATCTGACGTCAAGAGAGCCATCGTGCGGTGACAAGCTCACGTTACACTCACTCGTTTGAAGATCAGGTACCGACTCGGTGACCGATTTCGCTCGTGGAAGCGCGGGTTTTATCGTTGGCGGATGCCCCCTCGCGATTTTCGACACTCGTCACCAGTTTCGTTCGCGGACGGCAGCCTTGATGCTGGAACGAAGCAATCGTACGGAATTCCTTGCTTGTTCTTCTCAATTGGACTAGACTGGAGCCGACAGGTAGCGTAAAAACATAACTCGAACATTTCGCTCATTGGAATTATATCACTTTTTTTTACCATTTCAGCGTTCTCTCTTCTTAATCGTTTTTTTTTAAATTACTAACCTCGTCGGTATACGTGAGTTCTTTACTCAAGTACCATAGCATTAAATCGCGAATTTCCTTCGACTCGACGAATTCTTGAGTATATTATTATTTGTTATTATTATTCATAATCCTTGCCTTTTGGCTTAGGATGGCTTCCGGTTTACATTTCCTCTTATTTTCTTTATCTCTTAAATATATTTCGTAAATCTCGAATTCTTGAGTATACACGTATACTCATAATAAATAGATTATCGAGTATATTATTTAAGAATGCTTTTCAGTAATTCTAGGATGCCTGTTCATTGATATTTAGGTATAAAAATAAGCTCGATCGCGTTCCGATGTTATGGTGGAGCATTTTTCACGGAAACCGAGGGGGACTTGCTATAATACGGTATTTTTATACTTACATTACCGTGCATAAGTATTTGGACACTACCAAATTATCGCAGATATGTAAATTATGCTTCAAATGCTACTCTGATCTAATTTCCACTTTTCATTCTATCTCAATAAAAATAAAACAGCAATAATCGAAGGCGAATGAAAATTAGTTCTGCAGGGCAGTTCTACCTCAGCTAAGTGATTTTAAACGTGTCTTTTCAATCTTGTTTCTTGCCACGTTTTATATAAAAGTTATTTACAAATAAACAATGCTAGATCCGATAAAATAATGATAAATAATAAATCTATTATATAGATTTTATGAAGTGTCAACTATTCATTGTAGATAAATACGAACCTTGAGTAACGTAGCTATATTCTTTGTTCGAGTTTAAATTTAGCAGACCATTTGATCGCAGTTATTGCAAGAAGCGTAAAGTTAACAGTAAGGGAACATTCTGCTATTATAACGTTGAAAATGTAATAAAAATATCGACTCTTTGGTCGGATTGCACCAACTGTCCAGATATTTATATATGGTAGTGTATACTTATGATAACATTATTTTTGACAAACTTTATCGTACAAACGATCGTTCGATTTACGAATTAGAAAGATAACATGCTTTAAGACACAACGAGATAGAAGGGAGAACAGTTGACTCTGTTACACACTGTACACGATACTCAATTAGGATAAAGAATACACGCAATGAGAATAAAACTGAACTGATAGGAAAACGAAAAATTTTGATCGTGCATTCGCGCCGGAGAGTATCTTCTGTTTCCGGCTACGTCTTCCGGAAACCCGTCGGCGCGGTCGTGCTGGGAAATTTGAACGAGGTTTAATACCAAAAAGAAAAAAATCTACCGGTGCTCTGCTCAGTAAACAAAAATCGACGAGCAAAGCAAAGATAACGTCTCCACAATAAGTGTTCGCGATTCGATAAGATTGTTCTCCTTGGTCTCTGGTAAAAAAAAAAGTTCTTTGAACCAACGCCGGGCGGGACATTAGAGAAATTGGCTTCCTTTCTTAACAAGTTCTGGTTTAAGGTGTGTGAAAATGCCGGATACTAAGGCAATTGCACAGCTGACAATCACAACGTGAGCGGTTGTTCGTTTCGCGGATCATCCGGGGGATAATGATTACAGAACAGACCTGGAGCATGATGCTGGACAGTGATGTCGCGGGCATCAATGAGTAAGTATTCACCCATGCCAATTTCCATTTTCTTTCTCTTACACGCGACAAAGAAAAGAAAAAAGAAAAAAGAAAAAAGAAACGAAACTAGAATGAAAAGAAAATATGTACCGTGCAAGAAAGACTTTCAATTGTTTCTTTGTTTAATGCGACACATCATTAACACAATAACACTGTTCGGTAAGTTCCACATTTTGCAGGTGTATCGGCGAGATTTTTTGTGTCTTTTTTCCAATAGTGTAACACACCTTTCGACGTGCTTACACATGCACACATTTGATACTATTTTTCACGAGGACACGATGTTCCTTATTCTTCCTTTTTTTTTGTTTTGATCGCCTGTATGCGGTGGTTTTAATGATACCTGCGATGATGGATCATGATGTACGTGCAAGAATTCACGTGTCTGGATCGATAGTGCTGCGTATTTAAAAATATGTGTGCACTTATTATGATGTATCGTCCATACGTGCTTTGAGGAAACACTATTCTTTGGGTCGTGAGACACGTTTTACGATATATGAATGTTAGTACTAAATATTGTTATGTATAACATCTTCTATGCGAAGATCGTTTCGGAGAGCTTTTTCTGTTTCCACGTATGAAAGAAAAACGATGGGATCAGTTTGGATTTGGTTTTTATACGTATTTTTTTCTTAATTTTATAATTTATGTTTTACACGTGCCACTTATAATTTCAGGTCATTTATAGTTCTATTGAAATTTTGAGAATTTGGTAATTATCAGAATAGTTTCATAAAGAAAATTTATTTTCTATTTATAAGGAAAAAGATTCTTATTCTTTCATCTTTTGCTATTATTTACTTAACTAATGGCTGCTATTACTTTTTTTGTTATTTATTTATCGTGCTTTGTTTCCTTTTTAGTTTTGAATTCGAACATGCATGCACGAGATTCCATTATTTATAAGACAAGAAGGATGTCTATGTGTGTGAAGGATTAAATTGCACTTTGGATGAATATACATAATTCAAAGCCAGCAACTTTTTGTTATGTACAGAATGTCACAATGAAGAAATGTGAAATTATTTTGAACGAAGCTCATTTCGAAGAGAGAGGTTTAATTCAGATATTAGAAATGTATTCTGTATTTGCGGAATATTTTCTTTTTTTTATCTATCGGTAATATTTTCCAATCATTAACAATAAACTCATTTTTCATTTTGTGAAGGTCCTTTCATAAAATATTGATTTTTAGAGACAAATTGTTTACATATAAAACAACAAGTATTAATACAAAAAGACAATTGATGTATTATATAATGTAAAAATATTGAACATAACATTAATGATCATGTAAAAATATTTGTTAACAACAAAAGTTGTTTACCTACTTATCGTGACCTGCATAAATGTTTTGCAACTACTTTGTTTATACACGGCTCAATATAATTAGGAGATCGTGTACACTTTATAAAGTATTCAATTTTTTTCATAGCTACGTAAAATGTAAATTCTTGCATATTTATTTTATAGCAATTTGTACAATTTTCGAGGTACGCAAGTAGTATTTTTGTATTATATCTATACATGTTTCTCATTAATTTTTACATTAATTATTATTTATTATATTAAATCCTATATACTTTAACGACGAATTTGATAAATCTTTACCTAAAGTAAATGGAAATTTCTTATGTAAGGAATTTAATAATTTAAAATATAATATTCCATTTATTTTTAATATTTTATCTATTTTCCAAACTTATTTGGAAAAGAGCAGCTTTTAAGAATACGATCTTCTAATTACTTTGTGCAATGTACAAAAATGTATACATACGCAATGTGCATTTGGTATGTATTCGTGTGTCAATTTCCTAGATGTCCTAGATGTTCTCGCAAGTATTGCTCGTCTGAGAAAATTAATTTCAGATACTTTTTAACCTCGATAGGTTGAGTATTTCCCCGAGGAAACAATTATGGATCAAGGCTGTGAAGAAACTAACTTCCGAGAGGCTGGGGAGGGAAGGATTGGCGGCCTGGGAGGACCGGAAATCCAACAACGATCCGGAAGTTCCAGACATCAATGAAACAACCGATCCAACCGAGGATGCGGACATTTCTACCGACCCGGACGTGGCTCTTGCTGATCAGCCTGTTGATGCAGAATCTCAAGCGCAGCGAGGTTCGATTATATTTAATATTAATATAATTAATATAATCGAAGGGCTCGTAACGACATCAGCTAATGGTGCATTCTAGTTATCAGAAGCTACACTCACAATATTACGAAATCGATATTATAATATATGATCTACGGTTTCGTGTAACACATGCGATATGTTCGTACAAAGCTTCTACGAGTGTTCAAATACTTTCGTGAATCGCTGTATGTCTTGATTCAACCTCGTCATTTAATTAGATATAATTCTTTTATGATACACTTACAAATGCACTCATAGAAACCATGTAATGTGACGAGCATTTTGTTTAAAACGGTTGAAACGGCTTTTTTTATCTCCTGGGAAAAGACAAACATGGACAAAGGAGATATTTCTTAATTTTATTATAAATTTCTCTCGCGTCTTGATCGCCTGGCGAATTACTTAACATGCCACTGTTATTCACACACATGTTATTAATTTATTCTGTGGAATACAGCCTTCGGCTATAAATACGAGTGGATATTTCCAGATGTTTTCAAGAAAGGCGTACTCTATAAGGGAATATTTTGTCCATCGCTTTCGAACAGCTTCCACAGCAAACAGCTCGAGACGTCCTACCTTCATTACTCGAATCGTCAACGGCAGAAATCATTGATCATGCTGAATATCGTCGATCTTAGCTTAAAGGTAAACTGATCCCTAAAGAACGAATAACTCGAATCCTACGAAGTACATTCTGTATTTTGTTTTTTAATTTCTGTCCCATACTATGCACCGGGGATACCAGATTATTCTTATGGCGATATGGCTGTGGGAAAGAGACGAGAACAGCGGCGGCCTGATCGAATCGTTGTCTTGGGCGATCTGCTGTATGATAGCGAACTTGGTGGTTTGCGTTCTTGGCTGGTGGCGGTGTTTCTCCAATAATTATTTATACTGGGCTTCCATATTCACTTGGTTACTGATCAATTCTCAAGGTGATGACACGTACAAACGTCATGTATAATTTCTATCTTTATCTTTTTTCTTTTCTTCCTTTTATTTCTGTTCCTGAATAGACACATTCTTTTCATAGTTGGATATAATAGTCGACGTACGTATAGTGTTTCACATTGCAATGTTCTAATATACATATACACATATAAATATACGTACGTGCTCTCTTGGGAAGATTGTATCTTCGTTTACCGAATAGAGTTTAGAGAGAGAGAGAGAGAGAGAGAGAGAGAGAGAGAGAGAGAGAGAGAGAGAGAGAGAGAGAGAGAGAGAGAGAGAGAGAGAGAGAGAGAGAGAGAGAGAGAGAGAGAGAGAGAGAGAGAGAGAGAGAGAGAGAGAGAGAGAGAGAGAGAGAGAGAGAGAGAGAGAGAGAGAGAGAGAGAGAGAGAGAGAGAGAGAGAGAGAGAGAGAGAGAGAGAGAGAGAGAGAGAGAGAGAGAGAGAGAGAGAGAGAGAGAGAGAGAGAGAGAGAGAAAGAGAGAGACGGTAGAGCAAACTTATACCTAGGCATGGGTTACTATTGATCGGCGATCCTTTGCGGCTATTTAAGATTAACGAAACGATCGTTATGTTTCCATAAACGGGTCTACAATCGAGAGTGTCTTTATGTTATGTGCACACCCGCTGTCAATTGCAGGTTTTATAGGAGCTGGTCTAGATTTCTCTAGTCAACAACGTCTTATGTGGTACATTTTGTTTGTCGTGTATGCGCCGTATGCCATGCTGCCGTTACCTTTGAGATGGTGTGTCCTTGCCGGTTACGGGACAGCTTTAACTCACATGGTGATGGCGGGAATAACTTTATTACGAGATCCCACATATGTAAGAATCCTTGGTCTACATTTTAGTTTCTACAAGTTAACGCCTCCTACCCATTTCACTTATATAATACTCTTCCGTCAACTTTTTCTTTCCTAGCGCAATCCCAAGTACGCTTCGCAGCTTTCTTTTCGTTAAAGTACGTTTAATTTTGCAATTGCAGCTGCATGATGTCACGTGCATAGTTCGAATGCTAACAACCAACGTCCTTCTTTATCTTGCAATGAATCTAGCTGGCATGTACACTAAGTATTTGACAGACAGAGGACAGAGACAGGCTTTCCTGGAAACGCATAGATCCATGGAAACCCGGCAACGAACTCAAAACGAGAATAATCGACAAGAGAAGTTGCTCCTTTCCGGTGAGACATGCTTTAAATTCGTTAATCAGATTCATGAATGATTCCTAGCGCTGTGGTTTATTTTACAGTCGACTTAGTTTACAGCTTTGTTCAGAATTTCATTTAATATTTCGTTCAACAGTTTGGCAAGATTTATTGCAGTTCAAGATGCGATATATGTATCATCCTTTCAGCAATTTTATAATGAGGATTAATCTATTCGTTTACAGGAGTATTATCGAATTAAATAGAATTAGATTGACATTTTGTTGGAAGATCGATATTAAATTGAACTCGTTGTTTCACGATTGTTCACACAATTAACACGAACATGAGTTAGAGAGTATATATATATATATATATATATACGTATCATAAATGTATATGGACTGTGTAATTACGTATCGATGCAAAATACGTACGACATGTATTTAAGTATATTTATATATATGTCGAACATGTCAAACGTAGTCTATAAAAACGCATGGGGTTGCGCCGTAGGCATGGGGTTCGTCAGCGCGTGTAACTTGCTCAGCCGAGTGTCAAAAAGGGTCACTAGACACTTTCACCCGATTGCGCCAGATATGTTTTACCGATAGCCTAGCAGTACTTTGCTTTTACGTATTATCGATCTTTCGACGATTATTTGTTTAGGAAGTATAAGTAAAATACAATCAAATAAAATAGAATAAACAATCCCGTCATACTCGTTTGATTAATGGTAGATTATTATATAATTAATTGATGAATGTTTCATTTTGTCTATAGCGTTTTGTATCTTGTCGAGTAAAAATTATGCTTTCTAACATGTAATCACGTTTAATGATTGACGAATTTTATTGTAGTTTTACCAGATTTCGTGGCTAAGGAAATGATCCGTGATATCGCTCGTGAGACTGCACGAGGTGGAACAATCTCTTTTACACCTAATCAATTTCATAGAATATATATCCATCGCTACGAAAATGTGAGCATACTTTTTGCTGACATCAAAGGTTTCACTGGTATGTAATCACATATTTACGATAGTGAACTGCACTAGTTTACATCTTTATTTAAAAGTTACTTTTGTATAATGTTTACTGTTACAATGGAAAATGGAAATATATGAAAATACAATGGAAAAAGAAATATTAATAATAAGTAACTATTTTTTATTTTTAGGTATACCAAATAAAATTTATTTTCTCGAATGAAACGGTGTGATTGTTTATAAAAGTCTATATTTCTTTCTGTATTAGTATTAATTAATTGTCTCTTGTAGTTTGCAGTTATTTCCGTAATTCATGTGTATTAACATCTTTTCAATCAAACTTTTATCTCTATTATTGCTTCGAAGATATCAAAATGGTAAAAATTTTAAATTACGTTATATATCAACATAAATTTTATTCTTAAACAACATAATTTACATATGTCAATTATTTAAGTGTATTAATTATAATTTTTATTTTGTACATTAATTTCTATTAGCACACACAACGTATATTATAAGATATTAGATATATGTAGTAACTCTTAAAGTAATCTTACAAAGTTTCAAATTTAATCTATGATATTCGTCTTTATCACAAAGCTTTGGCCAGCCAATGTAGTGCTCAAGAGCTCGTTAAAGTGTTAAACGACTTGTTCGCACGTTTCGACAAGCTCTCTGCAGAAAATCATTGCTTACGTATTAAATTACTTGGGGATTGTTATTATTGCGTTTGCGGACTGCCGACTCCTAGAAGCGACCATGCTCATTGCTGCGTCGAAATGGGCTTGCACATGATTAAAGCAATAAGAGATGTGCGGTATACAACAAAGGTAACTAAATTCTGTATAATCTAAAATAATCAAACAATAATTTGAGACATACTGTAAGTTAGTAAATTTGAAAGACATAATCTTAACTGTTACAATGCATATGTGGAATACGCAAATTTCCTTTAAGATCGATTATAAGCTGCGATTTAACGATATAATTGAATTTTGCAATATTTCAAAAATATAAAATAAAGATACACCGTGCGTTAAGTGCGTAATTTAAGAAAAATTGTTCTTCATTTAGGTTGACCTAAATATGAGAATAGGAATTCATAGTGGCTCGGTACTGTGTGGCGTACTTGGACTTCGAAAATGGCAATTCGATGTCTGGTCTTACGATGTAACGCTGGCCAATCATCTTGAAAGTGGAGGCATACCAGGGTAAAACTTACTGCGTATCTCTCATTGGATTTAACAAAAGAAGTACACACAAGGAAAACATGATAAGTCTATATTTGTTGCTTTTCTGATTTTTATATCATTTGGAACCTAAAAGAGAGTACTTCAACTCCGATACTCTAAAACTTTAAGTTTCTAACACTCTGAAACTCTGAAACTCCCTTGTGTAATATTTACTATCGCATAATGAATTGTGCGAGAACGTTATTAAAGCAAGTAGTCGCAGTAATACAAGGAAAACGTAATATTTCAGGAGAGTACATATTTCGGAGGATACTTTGAACTGTTTAAATGACGTGTACGAAGTGGAGCCAGGAAACGGAACCGAGAGGGACAATTACTTAAAAGAGAGAAATGTGGTAACGTACTTAATCAAACAGGTGGAACCTTTGAGATGCAGACGTCGATATTCTTCACGACCTAAGATATGGACCGAGGAGGATGCAAGTAAAAGTAAAAAGAGCTTCAAATTGAACAATCCATTAGCTGCAAACAGTAGCGCTCCGAACTCATCCACGGACGACGACATTGGAGTGGATTGGACACCGGAAATACCATTCGAAAACGTTAGTATTTAACGACTATTGGAAATTAGTAAGGACTTTAAATCGGGAAACTCCTCGAGAATCTAGCGTTAGGTTATTTGTATAGTTGAATACTGCGACGTCAGTCACCAATTTGGAGTCAGAGTACCTCGAGGAAGAGAATGGATCCGCGAAAAGTAACAAGGTTGCGTCTGCTACATCCGCTGAGAAATTGAAGGCGGCAGGCCTTGAAACTGCAAGTAACAAGCGTATGAGGTTGGCGAACATAAATGCTTGGACTTTGCGTTACAATGACGAAAGCCTGGAATCAAAGGTGAGATGGATATTAATACATTCTGCGTGTATAAAGTCACCTTTTAATGAGTTCAATTAAATTTAAAAAAATTGAATTCAATGGAATTCGATTAAACTGAACATTAAATTAATTTCGCTAAATTAGTGATCTTGATGCAGATATTGTTTTATGTGTTCGTAGTTCGGCCAATTGCGCGAGGATATGTTTAAATCCAACATGATTTGTTGCTTCGTCGTGTGGATATTCATCGCAATTTGTCAAGCAGTGATATTGCCAGAGTAAGCGACTGGTTTTTCATGACTATGTTTCAATAATAATCAAATAATAAACAAATTTATGAATGTTAGAAAAACTTTGAGACTTTAATCATAAAAACTTTAAGAATAAAATACTAATTCGGTTGTTATTGTAGAACAAACAATGAGATAAAGATTATAAAATAAATTAGCATAAAAGATTATAAAATAGGATAATTAACAATGTATTAATTTTGAAATTACATCATCTTCTTTCTACAGCTGTATTATTCTTTTGGGTTCGCTGCTATTGACGACGCTCATACTGGTAGCATCTTCAATTCTGGTGATGGCAGAAGAGTTCAAAACATTACCAACATATTTGCAACACGCTTCTTCGATGTTGGTTCACAACAAGCAGCATCGAACGATCTTCATATGTAGCGTAATCAGTCTTATGGCTTTAACGTCTATAGTCGGTGTCCTGGCGTGTCCAACGTCGATTCGACAATATCCTGAAGCTTTGGAACTTCAGCAGCAGCCATTAATGAACCCAACACTGCAACCAGAACGACTAGTAGCACCGACTGCTGGTCTCGACCAGTTCATCTTGACGTTTCTGGAAGCGGCCCTTCGCGATGAGCCTTCAGAAGAGCAGAAAGATGTTTCTTCGAAAGAAAATCAAACTGCACCGCATGGTTCTAATAACGTTGATATGGAACTGACAAGAATCCTCAATGACAGGGCCAGTCTGGTGAAAGGTCGAGGAAGAAAAGAGTTTTTCAGGTTCTATAGATACGAACAACGCCACCGACTTGTGTTTGGAAGGCATTATAGAAGATTTGCTTGTAATCGTAGGGACGAAGACGTCGTTTTGAGGAAAATGTCATCAACACCGGAAACGGAAGTTCAAGCGGAACCTATGTATTCGTTGGATTACGATGATGACATCGTTTTGGGGACTACCTGTGTACGACCGGAATACATTGTGTTCACATGGATCTTATGCCTGATTGCGTTAGCCTCTGCACTGAAATTGTATTATTTAGTGAAAACGGCATTGGCCACGATCATCGTGTCCGTTTACGCCGTGCTGATTCTCGTAGTCTGCAAGGACTTTTTTTCGATCCCTGACGAGGAGAAGGATGCGTGAGTCGTGCTTGTCGTCCATGAGAATCTAGTTTATCTTAGATTCTTAAAAACATCACGCTGCTAATTATGCTTTTGCGTTTTTAGAGCAACGATACCTCTCTCGGCACAAATGCTCACGTTTATGTTAGTATTCCTGGTAATGGTTACGTATCATGGTAGATTAGTAGAAGTAACGTCCAGATTAGATTTCCTTTGGAAACAACAGGCTGAGAGGGAGCTAAGTGACATGATTGAATCTCGACATAATAACATGCAGTTGTTGAAGAATATCTTACCTGACCACGTAGCCCATCATTTTTTAACACAAGAAAGAGCACCAGAGGTAGAATAATTTATGTTTCCGGCTTCTTGGTGAATTTCATAAATATAATTTCCTTTTTATATTTTGCAGGAATTGTATTCTCAGTCGCGTGACATAGTTGGAGTGATGTTTGCTAGTGTACCGAATTTCACAGAATTCTATTCAGAAGATGTTAATAAAGGAATGGAATGTATACGTTTACTGAATGAAATCATTGGTAAAATTAGACATTTTGTATGTTATTGAATATTATATGCATTCTGTGCATTTTAATATTTTTAAATTTATCATAAACGCACGAACATCGGTACAAATTAGAGTGACAAATATGGCGGATCTGCAGATTTAAAAGTATTTGTTGCTTTTAATATAATTTATAATTCAACGATATGAATTTGAAATATCTTTTTCCAGCTGATTTCGACGAACTTCTGGATGAGAATCGGTTTCATTGCATTGAAAAGATAAAGACAGTCGGAGCAACTTACATGGCAGCTTCTGGTCTCAATCCTTCTCAGAATGTAATTCTATATATTGTTCAAATATCTTTACTCATATTCTGCGACATGCAATAATAAACTATTTCCATTGTATTCGTTCTGAATAACTTAGTTCTTTAAAAACAGTATCCAATATTATTAATCTTTAAATATTTTTCTTTTAGGATAATAACAAGGATAACATGGAGCATTTGTGTAGATTAGTGGATTATGCAGTAGCCATGCGACTTCGTCTTGAGGATGTGAATATACACTCTTTTAATAATTTCGACTTAAGAGTGGGCATCAGCTGCGGCCCATTGGTAGGCGGTGTGATCGGTGCTCGAAAGCCTGTATTCGATATTTGGGGCAACACTGTAAACTTGGCTTCCCGCATGGACTCTACAGGCGTTATGGGGAAAATACAAGTCCCGCAGGATATTGCTAGGGTAATTGTACAGCATGTAAAACGAAGATAATTATTTGCTATGCATACAAATCGTTTATTCAATTTCAAATAGTTTTTGGAATCGAGAGGATATCAAACTCAGAAAAGAGGACTTATTGAAGTTAAAGGGAAAGGGACGATGGAGACGTATTTCGTATTGGGCAAGGGAAGTCTACAACAAGAAGGCACGACTAAGCACACAACAAGATGCCGAAGTCTTGCAGCAGTTGTTTATGGTGTCGTTCAAGCACGTCGCAAGCAAATGCGAGCGCTTAGGAGGACATAAGTATTCTATTCACATCAGCTTTTTTTTGGTTCGTTGGTGCCTATAGTTATGTACAAACGATTCACCTTCGTCAAATTAGCAACTAACTTGTGAGATAAGACTTAAAATGAATGACTACAGTAACTCTTTTATTTTTGAAGACAAAAGAATATTTTTTAGAGATCGTTTAGTTTAGAGGAAAAGATTTCGGTAAATTTATTTTTCTGTGTATTCCTTTGTCACCTTAAAATCACTATCGTTTTATTACATTATTAATAATTGTCTGTTACATTCCTTAAGAGAGCAAATTTTATTACTAAGATCGTGACTGTTCTAATTTTAAATTTGTTTGGTAATCAAATATATTTTTTTAGATGTTGTATAAAATCTGTTAATCATAGAGTAATTTAATAATGAAATATAATTAACAAAGTGAATAACAAAATAATTTAAATATTCTTGTCTAAAAATATATGTAATATTTCAGTCGAATTAATTAATTAATTACTAATTGAAATATTTTTTTTCCTTCTAAATATAAGAGTTATCAGATAATCCATTTTAAGTGACTCATCGACTATTAGAGCTCAAAGGACGACGAACACCTGTAGTTAACATACTACCCAATACACTTTCTTTTTTTGTCGAAGTGTTGGATAACATGTTAATTAACGTGTTTTGATAATATTTATTATTATTGACCAGTGTAAATTGTAAATTAATTTCGTTCTGTATTTATAATTGTTAACTTTTCTTTGACTCACTTCTTTCTTCTAACAACTCTATAAAAACATAATTTTTACTTCCATTCCATTATTTAAGAATACTTTATGAATGTAACGATATTATTTATAAAAGATTATAAAGTAGTCTGTGATCCATTTTATTTTATAAATGGATATATTTCAAGAAGTATTTTGAATTAAATATATAAATACTAAAACGAGGGACATTAATATTTAAGCAAAGTCAGTGATTGAAAGCATCAAGGACATTTCAGGAATTTTATGTTCTTCTCATAGTAAAATTCATTAGAAGTTTATATGATTTTCATTTTTTTGAAGAAATCTTAATAACAATATTCTTGCAACAATAAGAGGAATCTTGGGGAAATATGAATGTCTTTGAAGTATCCTTGAAGCTAAAACCTCCTCGACTTCTTGCTTTAAAATTTTAACAAATTTCACTATCTTTCTCACTGTTACAGTGATTGTGTTTTTAATTCATTGTACTTTTTATTATGTATCTATTTATACTAGATTAAAATGGACCATTTTATAGAGGATTAAGTTATTTTTCTTAGCTACGAATATAATCACATAAATGTGGCTCTTGTTTCCAGAGAACTGAAATTCTAATGCATCTCTTGCATAGGTGAAAAATAGACTTGGCTGTAGAATCAGTCAACACCAAGAATAGTACCTATCTAAGTGCATTAAGTTTAAAATTTTATATGCTGCTATATGTAGAAATCTTACGATAGACCAGTTTTACGTATTAATGAATTCTTGTACATTCTCCATTTTTTCTGCTTCTATTATATTTCTGTTCTGTATTTACTATAATGAAACAAATTCCAATATCTGTAAATATTAATCCAACGTGTAAAGTAAATAACAACAAATCTGGAAATATATGCAATAATATATAAAAAATATAAACTAAATTATGGAATGACATTGTTGACACAGTAATAAATAAGTTAATAGTTAACAAGACTAAAACGATCAATTCAAACATGTTACACATATCTGTTCTACTTTATAATGAACATGACCAGGAATTGTCACGTTTTTGTTAAAGTCCATTGAGTGTGTTTTGAGTCTTGCATGTAGGAAATAAAAAAATCTCGTATAGCAACCACTTCTTTTTTTGGGAAAAGTCAATTTAATAATAATTGCAGGGCAGCAGCGTTCGTGTTGATAATCATAATGTACAGCACAGTCGAGCTCTGTGTAACTGTATATTACATTATTATGGTAAACACAATATATTTTAATTAACCGTAATAATAATTCATGATAATAATAGTTGTAATGATAATAATAAGGCTAGCTACAGCATGATCTCCCGCATAAAGAGATCACCCGATCCAACTGTACACTTTTACAACGTACTTCATAATAATAATCTAATTACATTAATTATAATTAGGTAATTATTACAATTTCAACCTAATTAAAAGAATGTTTTGCGACACGTAGGAGGGACCGCACGTCTTGAATTTTCGAGAAATTAATGCAAGAGTCTCTATCGTTCATGTTGCCCCGTTTCTTTTGTTCACGATAATTCTACACGCTATTTCGCGTCACAAATTTGGAAAATCATCTGTGTACATTGATTTCTCGAAAACGAAGGTATCATTTTTTTCTTTTAAAAAGTTCTTTTCCATTCTTTTTTTTTCATTTTCTCTCTTTTTCAAGTATAAAGGCACTGTACACGTAAACATACAATATACTATAGAAGAGCGCTATAGGCGGTCCAGATGGGTACTATTTTTTAAACAGTTAAAACGTGCCCGTTTAAAAATATCGATACGATCTTCTTTCATTTCTTTCTTGTTTGTTCCTTTTATTTCCTTTTTTTCTGTTTTATTCTTCTCATTGTTACGATGCTACGCACTTAAAATAGGGAGCGGTTTCCTTCGATTCTAGCTGCATTGGTCAACGCTATATCTTCTTCGACGCTATATATCTTAAACATTAAGGAAAAATATAGATGACTATTATATCAGAATGTGCAGAACTCACGGTAACTATTTGGGAGGAAATAATTGGTCAATGCGATCAGAAGTTAAGAAAACGCTCCGGTTTAAAGGTGGGATTTGTTTATCACAATTTGGCAGTGAACGTTCTCACGTTTAAAATACAGTTTTACAAGTTTTTAAGCTACGTGAATCGTTATCATCATCCTCACCATCTTCTTTTCTTTCCTTTTTTCTTTCTTTCTTTCTTTCTGCTATGGTTTGCTACTTTTCACTTTACAGACATTACAGAATTCGAAAATATTACTTTTTCCCCGCTATTGTTCAGAAAAAATAAATCTTCTTTTTTATGCCTGTTCGTTAACATTCCAACCATTCCGTAAGCATAGAACTCAAACTCTTCGTACACTGTTTAGCGAAAATATGTTTCAATATGTGTGCTCCTTAATTTTCTGGCTTGTCTTCTTCCATTTTCCTCTGCTTTTCGAAGTACGCAATTTTGTATGTGCGTCACTTTTCTGCATTTCAAGTAATTGTTCAAGATAACGAATTCAAGGGGATCTCTCGATTACTTCTGCTCCTGATAATTATATATGGCGTTTGTGCGCAATACTAAATTGCATAATATTTTTCTAAAAAATCACCAATGTCACGATTACTCCTCGAGTAGTCAGTATCAAAATACGAGACTTTGAAAAATCTGCAATAAGTGCAGGATAAACAATTAAGTGATTATTACAAGAATGTACTTAATATACAATTCTGCCCTCATATTTTTCTACTGTCCTCCGTTTTAAAAAAAAAATCAGATATTTACAATTACTTACAATTCCATTAAATGATAAGTTAATACAACTACTGCTCGAGTTCTTTCTGGCTTTCCCTCTCAGATTTAATTCATAATTCATTAGACAGATGTATCGATACACCATTTAAATTTGATTAAACAGAAAAGAAACTATTTAGTATGTCAAGATGTATATATATACTGACTAGTGAATGTAAACTTTCTAAGAACCAATTAAATTACAACTAAAACAAAAATGGTATTTGAAAGCTTACATTAACTGGTCAACTATTTCAAGTAATACGCTTTATCGGATCTAATATTTCTTTGTATTTCTTTTCCCTAACTTAAGATATGACATTCTTGCAGGTTGTCATAAAAATCTAGTACATTAAAAAAATGAATTTTCTTTTTTAGATAAATAACATCTAGCCTTCCTTATCATGTGATGTTTAAAGTAACGATATATTTTAAATTAGTATTATTGCAATTCTAATAATAAAGTGCTACTAGAAGTAATACTGCCAATTGTTCAAAGTTGTTATACCAGATTTTCAAATCATCCTGCATAATTCCAGTATACATTTACGAAATATCCAAAAGGGAAAATTGAAGAGAAACCCATCTAAAGAAAAAGATTTTTTCTTATTTCGATCACGTGCCTTTTACGTTCAAAGACATTTACTGCCGTCAAGGTTTACCAATATTTAGCCACAATTTTCCGCTTTTATCCTTTACAAATTATTTCATTTGAATTTCATAAAATTACTTTCCACTCCATTACAAGTATTTCATTTGCAGGTAAAAAGATACACGTGTGATTGCTAAGAAAAGTATACTTTTCTCAATGTCTTCTTATTTTAAGTCATGTTGTGTATGCAGTTTACCTACGAACGAAATTTCATGCTATTCGAAGGATCTAAAACTTTCTAAAATATTAAAGTAACTGCTAACAAACTTGAGCTGCCAGTGCTGTGAACCATTTGTAACGAAACCATCGTTAAACAACGCAATCTCAATACATATCGTTGATAAAATTTTAACATATATATATATATATATATATATATATATATACTTAAGTATAATCGATATATATATATACATATGGATATATATAAATACATATACTTAAGTACAATATATATATATATACTCAATACATTTCATTATTACAAACTGTATATATTCCGTAAAAATTATTCTAAACCTGCAATGTAGCATCATTAGATATTACATATATTTATATATTATATAACGTATTGAGTAAATTTATTCAGTATAATAAATGAAAAAAAGAATGAGAAAAAAATAATAGAACCCAAATCATATATATATATATAACAAGTCGAATTAAATAGTGCAATGTCAAGTAATTTCTATACAACATTGCACACCTTCAGAGAAAATCATCTTCTCAATTTCGAATACGAACTGGTTTAGATTATCCATAGGTCACAGCAAAACAGGCTTAGCGGTACACGATGGGACCGCTTTCAGTTTGTTCGTTATTAACTATTGAAGCTCTTGAGCCATTCTGTTTCGATTCATTTCACGTTACCTAATCTTATTTTTTACATTAAATATATTTATACATAATTTAATTAATCGTTAATCAAAGTTGTCAAGTCAGTTCGAAATATTGGCAGAATTCATTGTCATGTACTGCCAATATTACATGCATTGAGATCATTTGAGTGCATGGATTAAAATACTCTTGGACACGAGCTTTTTCAACCCGGAAAATCTTCATTAACAATCATCGATAGAGCGGGTTAATACATCAGGAAACTAGCATATACCATCGCTGTAAATGATGTAGAAATACACATATATACATGTACAAATGTATATATATGTATATATATGTATACACATATATTGCAATCGAATGGTGCAACATTGAGATTGGTCGCGCGTATAAAAGAAATGCGGTTATCGTTCGTAATTAACTAACTCGGCGGAACTAGTATTTCCTAGGATTTTCAAAAATACATCGTTCTTCGATGATCTTATTACGACCTGTACTATCTACCATTTTTTGCTTTTTTTCTCCATTTTCTCTCTCTTTCTCTCCCTCTCTCTCATGCGTTTGTGAAAATACATCTTTTCGGCGGAACGAGAATTGCATTATTTATACACTTGTGGTAGGTAAGAGTTTTTTTTTTTTTGTTTTCTGGCACGTACATTTGGCGTTACTAGACACCAATGTGAATTGACGAGACTGAGTTGAAGGTACGCTTCTCCTTTGCTTTAAGATACGATTAACTCATTGTTAGACAGGCAGCGTTTCCCAACTTTTTTCTTAACGTTGATCTGATCTTATATTCCGTCCTTAAGTTCGTTAAAATTGTACTAATATTCTATAATTGTGTTACCTTAAATAATAATTAAAATAAGCCATTAGACTATAACATTCTATCTTTCATGTACCGAATAGGTTGTATAAATCGATGGAAGATTTTCTATAATTAAAAATCATTTGAAACAAATTCATTTACAATTAATAAATATTCTTTATCATTGACTTAATTATGGTAGAAAAATTCAAATGATTTCAGCATATGATTTCCGATATTTAGAATATCACACGTTTCTCTTTTTATTCTGTTTATGAAAATAAACAAAAAATAAATTGAGAAACGCCGTTTTATGAGCTGATCGCAACATGTTATCGTCCCCTTGTCCTAAAAACGGAGGTTCGTTTATCTTAGAAATTATTATTATAAACAGTATCTTTTACTGTACAAATGTTTTAGAGCCGCTATTTTTTGCTTGACACAATGATTGATTTATTTAAAGCACGATATTCGTCACGAATGTCACTGTACTGTTAACACTTTTTCGTTAAATTATTTGAATTTGCTGCAAAATGTTTAATAATTATTTCCTTAATAAATCTCAATCAGATACTGATCTCATTGTCTTCGAGTTTAGTATAAAAACATAATCGTTGCTGCGATTTAAAAAGTCGAATCGTCGTTGGCAGTAGGACATTCGAAACTGTGCTAATATTCCCATGAATTTCATAAAAATCAATAATCGTTTCAATTCGCTTGCATACAAAAATGTACAAGTATGTTTTTTGAGCAGCTTGATGATACTTTACAATTGTATCTTAATTCATAATAATAGTTAACGACAGCTTATCCCTCATCATTGTGGACTGTTACAGTGTAATCCTTTAATATATTCACGATTGGCAGTGAACAATTCCGTGATGTTTCTCGATTATATGAAAATTTTTTCTAACTTTTCTTTTTGTTATTCGTAAAAATTTCGAAACATGTAATTTATGAACGATATAAAAAAAAGAGATGTTCTATCGTTTGTGACAAAAATGAATATTGAATGCTTGTTTTGTAGTTA